TCAAATCCTATCTCTGACCCTTACCACCTGTGTGATCTTGGGCAAATCATTTTCCTTTTCTCAGTCTCCTGGGCAATAAATTAAGGAAGGTGGATGAGTTAGATGGCCTGACTTCTAAGGTCCCTCCAGTCCTAAGACCATAATCTCTTTTGCCCAATCTAGTGATCCACCCATTCTGCCACCCTTCACATAGGTCTCTCTGCCCCTTCCAGATGGCAAACTTAGAGCAAGGCCTACATCGTATTAGTCTCTGCCTCCCCCAGCACCCAGCACAGGTCTCTGACATTTAAAACCTGGTTGCTGCTAAGGGGCAACCCTTAGCAAATCACATAAACTTTCAGTATTGTAGGTAACTCTCCCAGAGAAGGTGCCAACCTGCACCTACAGAGGGATTTTCCTTATGCGGAAGTTCCCTATACCAAAGAAATCACAAGTCTAGTCCTTATCTCTATTGAATTGCAGGATCACAGACTTAAAGATAAAAGGACCTCCGGAGACAAGGCCTCCATTTTACAGAAGAGGAAACTGAGTCCCAGAGAGCTTAAAGGAGTTGCCAAGGTCACATATATAGTAAACATCAGAAGCAGGATTTGAACCCAGGTCCTCTTTCCTCTGTACCCAAGGTCTATTTCAGCCAAGGGCAGGGAGGAAAGGAGCACGAGCAGTGAAGGGGCTGGCCCAGGTAGCACTTACTAGTTTTGTACTGCAAGGTCAAGATTGCCAGGGATGCCAACAGCCCCAGCACCAAAAGGCCAATCACCACGGAAAGGCGCTTTTCGACATGAGTCCTCTCGGCCCAGCAACTCCGGCCATTCCTGGAGCCTCGGAAATTCACCTGCAGGTGGAGGAGGAGGAGGAGGAGGAAGAAGAATTAGCCTCGGATTCCTTCCCACCAACAAAAGCATCCCCACCCAACCATCCCCAGGGAGGACACGGTCAGCCTGGTGGGAACAATGCCAAGGAGACATATGGGCTGCTCTCCCACCTTCAGGTGGGTCTGGTTCCCAGGGAATTAGCCCTAATCCGGTAAAGAAATCCCCGCCCTTGATCAGCAGCTCAGATGTGCTGCTCAAACATCAGAGATGCCAGTGGCTGAGCCTGAGGACGGATTCTGTGTTTTAAAAGTGTCACTTGATATGGGGTGGAGGGACAGGGAGGGGGGAGAAAGGCAACGTTCTCTAATTCTTCCATCACCACGTCCAGGAAAGGGCAGGACACTGGACCTTTTAAGGCCTCAAGTGAACATTCCAGCAGGACCTCCGCCACAACAACATGGAGGTGGGGGCCAAGAACTGTTTCCTTGGAGTCTGAGGAGCTGGGGTGACGTCCCAGCAAGGGCAACAAAGAGCTGTGTGGCCGTGGGCCTGTCATTTCTCAGAGACACAGCTTCCTAGGATTGTAGTTTGAGAAATGGAAGGGATCTTAGAGACCATGAAGGCCAACCCTCTCATTTTACAGATGAGAAAACTGAGGCTGAGGAAGGGTATGTGATTTGACTGGGGTCACACTGGGAACAGTGGCAGGATTCATACCCACAACCTCTGACTCTAAATCTGGTGTTCCTTCCATTTTAAAGATGAGGAAGCTGAGGCCCAGAGAGGGTACATGATGACTTGCCCAAGGTCACATGGATAGCCAGTGTCAGGGATAGGATTTGAATTCCAAACCCAGCACTCTCTTCCAATATACTGTGCAGCCTCTTATGATATTTTCTCATCTGTGAAATGGGAATAATAATCCAAGTACTCCCTACACTGAAAGGGTGTAAGAGAAGTATTAAGTTAATGGGAACTGTTATTCCCCACCCCCACCATCCCAGAAAGCCCCACTGTTCTTGATACCCCTTAGAAAGAATATGTTCCCTCTTGACTGTGCCAAGCACTGTCTTCCTACATTATGTATTTGTCATGTATTATTTCATATGAGAGACACCATGGTAGAATGGGGCAAAGCCAGGGAGATGTGAGTTCAAGTCTGGCCTCAGATACCCAAGCTTTGTGATCCTGGGAAAATCACTTAACAACTCAACATAACTTAACCCACAAAATTCCCTAAGACTAAGTCACAAAGGAGTTGTCCAATTAGCATCAGTGGAGGGAATTTACACATTAGGGAGTTCCTCCACACTGTTGAAATTACAGGTCCAAAACGAACTCACTAAACAAATAAGTTTTGTGTTGGAGTCACCTGTGCTTGGGGTGTCTCCCCCATCCCCCCATCTATCTGTGATTTTCATGAAGACAGAGGCCATCGTTTAAATAAACTCAGTCCCTCCTCCAGCGTCCAGCACAGTGCTGGGCAAACAGTAGGCACTTAATGTTTGCTGAATTTAATGCACAGAGCCATAGACTCTTAGAGTGGGAAAAGTCCAGCTCCCAACTGCATATCTTCCATCTACTCCATACGAATCGACACTTTCGAACTGTGATGCTGGACGAGACTTCTGAGAGTCCCTTCGACAGCAAGGAAATCTAAGAATCAATACTTAAAGAAATTAATTCAGGCAGTTCATTGGAAGGTCAAATGCTGAAGCTTAAATACTTTGGCCACATAATGAGAAGAGGGGACTCAATGGAAAAGACCCTGATGTTGGGAAAGACTGAAGGCAAAAGGAAAAGGGGACGGTAAAGGATGAGATTGATGGACAGTGTCATGGAAAGAACAAATAATGAGCTTGGACAGACTGGGATATAGGGGAGGACAGAAGGGCCTGATGTGCTGTGGTCCATGGGGTCACAAAGAGTTGGGTATAACTGAACAACAATAACAATGAAAGAAATAGGGATAGAAATAGGACCCTGTGATTTCACTAATACAAGAACTCTAGAGAGAGGACACACCCTCTTATTAATGCAGGTCTACACCTCTCCTGTAAGTGAAAGTCTCATTAAGCTGCCTGCAGCCTAGAAAGGGTAAGTGACTCAGCCAGAGTCACTGAGGCCAGTATGTGCCGGGGAAAGGACATGAGCTCAGGTCTTTTTGGTTTGAAGACCAGCTCTCACTCAACTCTGCTGCCTCTTATGCGACTGGTACACATTCTGGTTTATGCACATGTTGCCTACATGTATCCCCCAGTTCCTTGGGGATAGAACTATTTTTTTCTAATTAATTTTTCTTTTTCCATTAGCAAAGATCTGACATCGCCCACTCCCACCCCTAACCTTCACCCCACCCCTATCCTCACTGAAAAAGAAAGAAAAACAAAACACCTGCTACAAACATGTATAGTGAAGGAAAACAAATTTCGGTACTGGCCACATCCTCCCCCCCCCAACAAAAAAAAATTGTTTGATTCCACGCTCTGATTCTTTTATCTTTCTGCAGGGAAGTAGGCAGGTTGCATGTCTTTATCCCTAGTCCTCTGGAATCATGGCTGATTATGACACCGATCAGAGTTTTTTGAAATTGTCTTGTCCTTACAATATCATTGGCACCATACAAATTCTACTGGCTCTGCTCACTTCACTTTGCATCAGTTCGTAGAAGTTTTCCCAGGTTTCTTTGGAGCCATTGCCTTCATCTGCACAATAGCATCACAATTCAATCATATACCATAACTTGTTCAGCCATTCCCCAACTGATGGACAACCCATCAGTTTCCAATTCTTTGCCACTGCAAACAGCTATAAATGTTTCTGGTACATCCTTAGGGTTTGTATTGCTTAGGGCTGATCCCTCTCTTAATCTTTTGTTGTTGTTGTTCAGTACCGTCCAATCTTCATGACCTCATTAAGGGTTTTCTTGGCAGAGATACTGGAGTAGTTTGCCATTTTCTTCTCCAGCTCATTTTACAGATGAAGAACTGAGGCAAACAGGATTAAGTGACTTGCCCGGGGTCACACAGCTAGCTAAGTGTTTGAGGTCAGATGTGAACTCATGAAGATGAGTCTTCCTGACTCCAGGTCTGGCACTCTATCCACTGTGCCACTTAGCTGCCCTTCCCTTAATCTACCCTCTCTCTAATTCCCCCTTCTGTCTTCTCTCCTATTTTCCTGTTGAGTGAAGTGTATTTCTGTTCAACTCTCTCTGAGTGTGTGTGTGTGTGTGTGTGTGTGTGTGTACACGTGTGTTCTTCAGATGAGAGTTAGGTTCAAGCGTCAACCACTCTCTTCACCCTTCTTCCTTGTTGGTATAAACTTCTACTTGCATACCTCAACTATGTGATATATTTTCTCCTAACCTTCCTCCCCTTAACCCTGCCCCCACTGTATTCTTCTCCCCTCTATAACATCCCCAATAAGCCGGCATAGAAATCATCAGTAAACTGGAAGCCACTAGGTTCCCAAACAGCCCCTTCCACCCTAGGACAGCTGTTACTGGTAAGTCCATTACTGTTACTGGTTAATGAGCTTCTCTTCTTTGCAACTCGACTTTCCCCCACCCTAGTCCTGTTCTTTGGAGCAAAATTAAATAAATCTAACCCTTCCCTCCCCGGGACTGCCCTTCAGATACCTGAAGATGGCTCTCAGGTTTCCCTCCATGTCTTCTTTTCTCTAGGCTAACCATCCCCAGTTCCTTCAGACGATCCTGTATTCTCCTATCAGTGAGTCACTGATCGGTATTCTTGAGAGGAACCAGAGAAGGGAGAGGAGAGTGGGGGAAACAGCCTATTTTAATCAAATCACCAAGAATTACCAGCCAAACTGACTCTGAACTAAACAGGAAGGGCGTCACAATAAAGGGAAGTGCACCCAGCAGCCGACTGGAAGGCTGAGTCCCCAGCACATGCATCTGTAGGGCTCCATCCCAGAGACACCCAGGCACCATCCAATCTAACCTGGCCCTGAACAGCACTCTGATGGAAGCATATCGGAGTGACCCTGGACAATTCACTTAAGGTTGGGGTGGGGGTGGGGGGTCTCATCTTCCTTAACTGTAAAATGAGGAGGTCTGGTCCAAAAAAAATTACCAAGAAAATCTAGAAGAGGGCCCCAACAGTGGAGTGTGTGTATGGTGGGGGAGGAGGAGGGATGAGGAAAAGCCTGGTAGAGAAGGTAGCATCTGTTCTCCACTTGAACATCTCCAATGCTGAGAACCCCTCTACGGATCAGCAGCCCAGTTCACTTCCGGCCTCTCATTTCAGACAGCCTGGGGCCAGCGTGAGGATGAAGCTCTGGCCTCTCCTACTGCTTCAACTGCTGAGGCCTCTGGAATCAGAGTTTCTCAAAAAGTGCTAAGGCCACAGGGCCATATGGAAACATCTGTGTACACGGCACTACGGGGCCTGAGCAAGGCTATAAAAATGACTGACGGCTTCACAGCCACCAGATATGTCCACAAGCCACATAAAATATCTCGGTTTGTCTTGGCAGCCCAGGCACAGTGCTGATTAGGTGAGATTGTACTGGAGGTCGCCAGAGCACCCGAATGGCTGGTCTCTAACAGGTCCTCCTGCCTCCACCCCTCCCCCCCCCATCTTCCGCGTGCGCCCAGACTAATCTTTCTTGGCCATACATTTCAAGACGCAACTCCTTAGCTCAACCATCTTCACCAGCTCCCTGCTGCTACTGAGAAAAATCCAGCTTCCTCTGTGGAGCATTTGAAGCACTCCAAGCCTTCTCTCCTGTTTCTCCCTTCCGCACACTCTACAATCAGGCCAAACTGGTCAGCTCCCCGTCCCCCAAACACACCCTGCATTTCCTAGCCTCTCTGCCTTTGCTTGCGCTACTCCATATGCTTGGAATACCCTCTCTCCTCTCGCTTTATCGGGTGATAAGGGGGATCCCTCATATGGAGTAGTGGAAAGATCACTGAGGCCAGAGTGAGAGGATGTGGATTCGAATCCAGTCTCTGCCCCTCAATATCAATATGATCTTGGGCTTGAGTTTGCTCATC